AGTTAGGAAGCATCATGTCTTCTTCAATATTTCAGAATAGTTTGAGAAGGATAGGTATTAAATCTTCTTTGAATGTTTGGTAGAATTCTCGAGAAGACATCTGGTCCTTTACTTTTGGTTTTTGGGAAGCTTTTGATTACTGTTTCAATCTTTTTACTTGTGATTGGTCTATTCATATTTCTATTCTTGATTCAATTTTGGGAGTTGTATGATCCTAAGAATTTATCCATTTATTCTGCATTATCCAATTTTTTGGCATATAGCTTTTTGTAGTATTCTCTTATAATCCTTTGTATTTCTGTGGTATCCGTTGTAATTTCCCTTCTTTCATTTCTGATTTTATTTGAGTCTTCTCTCTTTTTGACTTAGTGAGTCTGGCTAAGGGTTTGTCAATTTTGTTTATCTTCTCAAAGAACTAGCTCTTAGTTTCATTGATCCTTTCTATTGTTTTTAGTCTCTATTTCATTTATTTCTGCTCTGATTTTTATTATTTCCCTCCTTCTACTGACTTTGGGCTTTGTTCTTCTTTTTCTAGTTCTTTTAGGTATAGTTTAAGATTACTTATTTGAGATTTTTCTTGTTTGTTGAGGTAGGCCTGTTTTGCTATAAATTTTCTTCTTAGTACCCATAAGAGTTGGTATAGTGTGTTTTCATTTTCCTTTGTCTCCAGATATTTTTTTATTTCTCCTTTGATTTCTTCGTTGAGCCAAAGTTTGTTCAGTAGCATGTTGTTTAGTCTCCACATATTTGTGACTTTCTTAGCCTTTTTCTTGTAGTTGATATCTAGTTTCATAGCATTGTGGTTGGAGAAAATACTTGATATGATTTCAATGTTCTTAAATTTACCAAGGCTTGCCTTGTTTCCAGACATATGGTCTATCATTTTTTGTTTGTTTTTTTTTTGCTGAGGAAGATTTGCTCTAAGCTAACATCTGTTGCCAATCTTCCTCTTTTTGCTTGAGGAGGATTCACCCTGAGCTAACATCTGTGTCAATCTTCTTCTATTTTGCATGTGGGTCGCCGCCACAGCATGGCTGCCAGTGAGTGCTGTAGGTCTGCACTTGGAAACTGTGCAGGCTGCTGAAGTGGAGTGTGTTGAACTTAACCACTAGGCCACAGGGTCTATCTTTGAGAGTGTTCCATGTGCACTTGAGAAGAATGTGTATTCTGCTGTTTTTGGATGGAATGTTCTATATATATCTATTAAGTCCATCTGGCCTAGTGTTTCACTTAAATCTGCTGTTTCCTGGTTGACTTTCTGTCTGGATGATCAATCCATTGATGTAAGCGGGATGTTAAAGTTCCCTACTATTATTGTGTTGGCATCAATTTCTCGCTTTAGTTCTGTTAATAGTTGCTTTATATACTTTGGTGCTCCCATGTTAGGTGCATATATTTTAGTAAGTGTTATGTCATCTTGGTGGAATGTCCCTTTTATCATTATATAATGCTCATCTTTGTTTCTCATTATCTTTTTTATCTTGAAGTCTGTTTTGTCTGATATAAGTATGGCTACACCGCTTTCTTTTGCTTGCCATTTGCTTGGAGTATCATCTTTCATCCGTTTACTCTGAGCTTATGTTTGTCTTTAGAGCTGAGATGTGTTTGCTGGAGGCAGTCTATTGTTGGGTCTTGTTTTTTAATCCATCCAGCTATTCTGTGTCTTCTGATTGGTGAGTTCAATCCATTTACATTTAGAGTGATTATTGATATATGAAGGCTTCGTACTGCCATTTTACCTCTTGTTTTCTGGTTGTTCTAGATTTCCATTGTTTCTTTTTCCTTGTATTTCTGTCTGCCATTTCCGTTTGGTGGTATTCTATGATGGTTTTCTCTTTATTTATGATTTGTGACTCTGCTCTGATTTTTTGTTTTGTGATTACCAAGAGTTTTGTATAAAAGATCTCATAGATGAGATATTCCTTTTTCTGATAGCCTCTTATCTCCATTAGCCTATGCAGGTTCCATCCCTTTCCTCTTCCCCTTCTATATTTTTGTTGTCACAAATTATTCTTATTTGTGTTGTGAGTTTGTGACCAAATCGAAGAGTTTATAGTTAATTTTGATGCTATCTTTTCCTTTAGCCTTTATGTTATAATCAAGTGTTTGCTAACCTATTCTGATAGAGAGCTGCAATTTTCTGATTTTGTCTGTCTGCTTATCTCCTTGCTCAAAGCTTTATAAGCCTTTGCCTTTTTGTTTCGGGTAGGAGATCTGTGTTCATCATTTCTTGTAAGGCATGTCTAGTGGCAATGAACTCCCTCAGCTCTTGTTTATCTGGGAAAGCTTTTATTTCTCCATCATATCTGAAGGATAATTTTGCTGGATAGAATCTTCTTGGCTACTAGTTTTTGTCTTTCAGTATTTTGAAGATACCATTCACTGTCTCCTAGCCTTTAAGGTTTCTGCTGAGAAATCTGCTGAAAGCCTGTTGGGGGTTCCTTTGTAGGTTATTCTCTTCTGTCGTGCTGCCCTTAATATTTTTTCTTTGTCATTGACTTTTGAAAATTTTCATATTATAAGCCTTGGAGAAGGTCTTTTTGCATTGATCTAATTAGGAGTTCTATTAGCTTCATGTACTTGCATGTCCAGTTCCTTCCCCAGGTTTGGGAAGTTCTCAGCTATTATTTCTTTGAATAAGCTCTCTTCTTTCTCTTTCTCTTCTCCCTCTGGGCTACCTGTAATCTTTATGTTACTTTTCCTAATAGAGTCGGATATTTCTCAAAGAATTTCTTCATTTTTTTAAAACCTTAATTCTCTCCCCTCTACCTGAATCATTTCTATGTTTCTATCATTGAGTTCAGTAATTCTCTCCCTCATAAGGTCTGCTCTATTTTTTATGCTTTCTACATTATTTTTTTTCTCATTAATTATGTTCTTCACCTCCAGAATTTCTGTTTGGTATTTTTTTAGAGTTTCAATCTCTTTGGTGAAGTATTCCTTCTGTTCATTAATTTTATTCTTGAACTCATTGAACTGTCTTTCTGAGTTTTCTTGTAACTCATTGAGTTTCTTTAGGACTGCTATTTTGAATTCTCTGTCAGTTAGATTGTAAACTTCTGTGATTTCAGACTTGGTTTTTGGAGAGTTGGCTTTTACCTTCTGTTCCGCCATGTTACTGTAGTTCTTCATAGTGTTTGATGAATTCATCCTCTGCCAGCACATTTGTGGTTGTAATCACCTTCTCTTATTTGGGTATGGCTTTGGTTACTTTGGTTCTAGTCACCTGGGTCTTGTTTTCCTCCCCTGGCTCTCCATAGGCTCAGATGCTGTTGTCTTGTGCACCACCTATGTTGCTGTTCCCCAGTTGTCTGGGGGTACTGGTTGCACCGCTGCTGGGGGTGCTGGGTTCACAGGTGTTGCTGTTGCTGGTGGGGGTCTGGGGACCTGTATACAGCCCCCACTGCTGGTGGAGTTGGTGTTGTGAGTGCTGCCACTGGGGTCTGGGTGCTCCCACCCTGTTTGCTCACAGTTGTGTGGGTTGGGCTACTGTCTCTGCTGCTGCTCTACTGACTGTCATGGGGCAGGGCCACCGCTGTGGTGCCACTGCTGCCTCTTGGGCATTCGTGCATGCATGCACGGGTCTGCCACCAGCCGCCACTGCCACCCTGTGGGTGTTTGTGGACACATGGGGCCACCGCCTCTTGGGCTTTTGTGCGTGTGTGGGGCTGCCGCCAGCCACCACCACTGCCACCACTCTCCCCGGGGGTGTTCATGAGCGTGCAAGGCTGTCACCACCCCACCAGCATTCGGGTGCATAGGGCTGGGCCACCCTGGCCTCCACTCACAATCCTGCGGACCAATGCATGAGGATCTGTGTCCTGGATCCCTGCCACCAGGGTTGGCGAGTACGCTGCTCCCCTAGTTCCACCATTTCCTGGGGGTCCAGTCCATCCATCTTCAAATGTATACCTGCCTGGATCTCTTAGGCATCCTGTTGTGCTGTGTAGGGAATCCTCTGTTGGTCAGTGGATGTCTGTTTGGTTGTAATTTAGAGGAGAGAGACAAAGGGAACCTCTCACTCCGCCATGATGATGACATCTCTCCCCCTTAGTATTTTCCATGTACATGATCGCGTGTGTACAAATAAAAACAGTTTACTTCTTCCTCTTCAATCTGTATCCCCCTTTTTTCTTTTTCCTGCCTTATTGTAATGGCTAGGGTCCCAGTATAGTGCTGAATAGAAGAGGTGAGAGTAGATATCCTTGTCTTGTTTCCAATTTTAGGAGAATAGTGTTCAATTTTTCACTATTAAGTATGTTGTTAGCTGTGGGTTTTTCACAGCCCTTTATTTAGTTGAAGACATTCCTTTCTATTCCTAGTTTACTGGGAGCTTTTGTTATAAATGGGTGCATTTTGCTGTATATAAATTTTACCTCATTTAAAAAACTGATTTAATAAAAAACAATAATATTATATATACTAAAACCTGACCAGAGTAATGTTGTCTCATATATATCAGTTTTAGAAAAGACGTAAACTGTGCAAAGTTTTAAAAGGTTAAGAAAAACTTTAGTCAAGGCTAAAAAATTTATTTTTAACATCAGTCAACTATCATATTAAAGGTAAAATCAAAATGTTGGTTGAAGATTTTCCTTTCAGAAACAATATAAATCTGAGAATGTCTTTCCATTTCCTAAGCTAATATAATACTTCAAAACTCAATGTTATTTTTCTTTGTGATAAACTTTGTCTATAAAATCTGAATTGAGCTTTTCTAATTAGCACCACTGAGAGATTTTAATTGCTTTTCTTTTCCCCAGAATAAGGCAGAATACTTTTAATGTTTAGAAATCACTTTCTTATTTGGTGTGTAAATACTGTACATATATTCTATATAATACTAAATAATAACTCTGTAGGTTAATTCTGAATCAGTATGGCAAGATTTTATTTCCATTTCTATCCTTATTATACAGATGAGGAAGCTGAGGCTCAGAAAGAGTAAATGACTTGCCTTTCGTTATTTCTATATCTATGGTAACTTTTTTTTTTAATAGGAGTTACTTAAAGATCCATTGTACATTGGACTACGGCAGAGAAGAGTGAGAGGTGCTGAATATGATGAGTTTTTGGATGAATTCATGGAGGCGGTTTCTTCCAAGTACGTATAATCTTTATTTTATCTATATTTGAGTTATCTATATTTCAAAAATTTAAAGACAACCCAACATAATAACCTATAAAAATGTTAAAGTTTGGTGCACTATGTTTAATAATTAGAAGTGTCTGAGTGAAATACACACACACACACACATCCATCTTTGTAACTATTAGTGGCCAAAAGATAACATCATGTGTCTATGCCAGAAAAGATTGTCTCTGTTGTTATCCCTGAAGATACTTTTATGTTATAAGAATCTTTAGATCCTGTGGTTATTGGAATATGATTATGATGAATGATTATGGTGAATGAGGCAGTGGGCAGTAACTAAATTACCTGAGCAAGACTTTTTATGATTATTGGCAGTCTGTACTTTGTTTCTGGAGGCTGATAAAATCTGATCTTTGATCATCTTTTTGGGTGTATCTGACCCTTTTGTAGTAGGAGAAACAGAGGAAGAAGTGAGCATGAATTAGTACAATCCACAGGGGTCCAGAATGGAGCAGGAACCAGGATATCCAATCACAATCCATGAATCTCTGATTGAATCTACAGTATTTGATTAAAATGCAGTACTATATTTCACCTAGTCTAGGTAGCATTTAACTGTGGACCAAGTGCTACTGTAAAATTTTCCAGTTTTTTCCTTCAAAGAACAGACTTCTACCATAATTTAGTAATATATTCTGAGAGAATTTTTCACACTGACAGTCATCCCATTTGTTACTATACAGCCACAGAAACCATGTACTATTTAAAAAGGTATTTGTTTCCTTGGTTTTTCATAGAAATAAACTCATCACTAGAATCAACTATAACTGGAGATGTACTTCTGGTTTCTTTTTATTATAAGGTTTAATTTTAAGAAGTTGTATCCCACAGCAGAAAGTGCTTTCATCAGCTTGCACAATATTTAGCATCTCCTATTTCCCAAGGTTTTAGTGCAGAGTATATTTGCCAATTAGTTAAATGGACTACTTTTTAAAAACCCATGCCTGATTTATTTACTGTTATTATTTATTAATTTATTTAGTTAAACTGTACTTACTCATAGAAACAGTTGGGAAACTTACAGTTTAAGCTTAATATTGCATGGTACACTTAATTGCTAGTAGTTTTTCACATTTAATTTTAAATCCTCACCCTGTAAATCTTATGTAAGGTTTTGAAATTATCTTTCTAGGTGGCAACATTAATCAAGAGATTGTGTAGAGAATTCTGTGAGGCTATACAGAAGAAAAGGAAAATGTAATTCTCAACATATTGGTTTTTATTGTCTATGTGTAAATAAAGTCTATCTTTATATAGACAACTTCAACATACTTACAAAGAAGCTGTTAAACAAATTATCGACATAGCATGTATGGCCTATATACTTAAATAATTCCATTTGAAATCAATGAAAACCCTTATGGAGAACATGGGATATGAGCTAATTTTGAATGTGCTGTGTCAATCTAGAATCAGGAAAACTTTTTTTTTTTAATGTTGAATTGAGAGGTTATCTAAGATCTTTGATAAGGAAATAAGGATTGACAAGAGTCAACAATAATTTTAAATGCAGAGGTCACCTATAAATCAGGAGTTATACTTCTGGGTTCTCCCCAGAAAAAAAGCTCAAAGACCTTTCAAAAATACTTCCTAGCATGACACTGCATTGGGAAAAGTTTTCTACAAGTAGAACCTGGCACTACTCGATTAAATTGGGAAGTAATTCTGAAGATAAGCCCAAGATTATTTAAAAAGGAAATGTAACTTAAATTGAAGGAGCAAAATTACTGGGTTACCCAGGAGTCAGATTCTGAGATGGAAGTATTAAGGAGTGTGCATAGAAGCAACGCCTTTGGAAGGGAGGGGGCAGAAAGAGGAGAGGAAGAAGGGAGAAGTGGAGCTGCAAAGTGGTCCCAACGACAGCCTTGGATAGCTACACTGGGACCACCCCTGCGTGCTATTTAGATCCTTAAGGGAATACTAATTTCTGCCAGTCCCCCCACACCCCCATCAATACTATGTTGTTGTTTTTATTTATTATCTTGTCAGGGTTGTGGTGGGGCAGTTTCAAATTCTTCCTCTTGGCTTTCTCCACAGTTTTAGCTCTTACCTCATAGGCCAAAGGCTTGATATGGGTGTTGTGGCACTAACCACATATGTCTATTCTTATTATATATTTTGGGACTGAGGAAATCACCACCAGGTGGGTCTGTGGTCCCAGTGGACCCATTATGAGCTAGACCTTGGCCAGGGCTCCATTTATTACCGGTCTCCATATGTCTCTAATGAGGAGGGATAACATATTGATGCTTCAGGTCTCCTGGTTTCACTGTCAACTCTGTGCTCTCAAAATGTTTGTGTATTCCCTGTCTCCAGTGCACAGTTACCTCAGTAAAGGACCCTAGGTCCCTTTAGAGAAGGATTGGGGGGATTATTACCTTGTATTCTTGCCATGGTGTTGCAGGGTCCTTCCCTCTGGAGACTAGGCCTCTTCTTCAGTTACTGGGTTCTGGGTCCAATAATTAGCTCAGGTTTGGAAACTGAGCAAGAGATTGTGACTTCACTGGGGTGGCTACCCTTGGCTTTGTGGTAATCCGTCTTTGACTTCTTTTAAATGTATGTATTCAAAAGAGTACATATTCAAAAGTAGTAGCCCTGTTAGCTATCTATTTTGCCTCTAGAGATGCCTATTCTATTAATTATCTCAATAACTCTCTGTGGGTCGGCCCCCCCCACACCCTAACCTTGCCACTCTTATGATAATTGTGCCCGCTTGGCTTCTGATCCTCACCTGGTTCTATCATCCCCATTGCTGTCAATGAGCCTAGTTCTATAACACACTGTCCTTCTGTCAGTTCTGGCATTCAGAAGAGAGCCGCCCCAAAGTACTTAGTAATGTAGATGTCTTCTCACTAGCATGTTCCTTGTGGCTTTGTAAATGCTGTATTTTCTGGGCCTTCCTGTGGAACATAATCATCTGATGGGTTTTCAGGCCTTATGTAGCATGCACACTCCAGAATGCAGTAATCCCCTTGTAATCCGCTCTTCGTCATCTGCCACAGCATTTCTGGCATTTCAACCATATTTAGTATGAGCCATTACTTTGTCCATATTTCTAGGAACCATCCTAATAGCAAGTTTATACCATCTCCTGAGAGTCTTGCTGGGTGTAAATCCTGCATCTCAGGAGAGTGCTCTCAAATCCATAAACTCTCCCTTATCTAATCTTAATTTTCTGGCCCCATTGATCAAACACTGTCAGAATTTAATCTCACCTGTACTTTCCTGGCTGATATAAGTAGCTAGATCTCACGTTTCCTTTGTGGAATAGCCTCTTTCTTCCTTTATCAGGCCTAGTGTGTCCCAGACGGGTTATATTGTGACATAACCCTAGTTATATAGGTCTAAGGGTCTGGAGAGGAGGGAAGAGTGGACAGATTGGGGTTAGGGAGGCACATGTTGTCTTATGGGGGAGAAGCCTCTATACCATCTCCAAGAAAGAAGGGGCAGGCCACTTTTGTAGGTTCAGAAAGTTCTGGGGATTATGGAAATTCAAGATTTGGGGAGGCATCAAACCAGATGTCTCATTCCATGTGGCAGGATTCTGTTCTTTTCCAACCAGGATCCTGATTTAGCACATCTGCCCTGCTTAGGAGTTTTGGCGTTTTTGACTACTTTGACGATTAATCCCTGTACCTGGTCATCAGCTTTCTCTGTCCAGGAGCTACAGGATCTGAGAGCATTTTTGTATCTACCAGGGAGGTCCTCTGGCTTTCACATTGGTGATTACTTGCCCTCAACTTTTCGTATTCTTTTCCCATTGTCCTTATGGTTGCTATTTCTCTCATATTTCTCAGACATCTGATACATCATTCCAGCTAAAGTGTTCCCTTCCACTGATATACCATCCCAGCCTATGTCTGGTGAGAGTTTTAACAGTTGGACTTGCCACCTTGTTCCGGGGGTCCATGGGTTCCATCTCCCACCAGTGATGGGGTCCTCGTTGCCAGTCAGGCAGCAAGTGATCCAGCTCCAAGCCCCATCTTATCACTTGCTTTCTTGGACCACTCCTGGTACTGTCACGGGTTAGATTACCTGGGAAGCAGATTCTGATGTGAACTTGAGTGTTCAAGAGGTTTACAAGAAGAGCCCTAGAGATCAGCCCATATGGACGGGGTGCAGAGGGAGAAATTGAGCTGCAATGCAGGCACAATGACCCACCTTCCACCTACCCCATGGGGGACTCTGGAACTACAGTGGCTTTTCAGAGTTGTCCCCATTTGGGCTGAGATGGCCAACCCTTTGTATTCCTGCATGGATTAGTCATTGTGTGCGGGTCACCCTGAGAAAGAGCATGGCGAGTGATGTAGTGCTCTCTGCGTCTGAGGCAATCCCCAGGGCAGCAGTGGGGATCTGAGTGCCGTATCACAGTGTTCAGCACAATGACATTTAGATAAAGATAAAAATTGAGCAGAAAAAGAGTTTCAAGGTTTGTAATTAAGGCCTGTTCTGGAATCTATAGGATGGACTCTATTTCTGATATTCTGTTATCAAGCTACACGACAGACAAATGCTAGCCTCTCCATCATATTTTTGGTTTGGAAAAAGGGCCATTGGCACAAATCATTCAGTTACCCCAAGCTACCTGTGCCCTAACAGGGGCTAGATTTCTCCAGTAAAAAGTTGTGTCAAACTATCTTTTTTGTCTTTTCCATTGTTTTGATTCATTCATTCATTTGTTGAAAGCCAGGCACTGTGTTTGGTGCTGGGGATACAGGGATGAAAAGGCAAAAATAATTCCTGTCTTTCATGTTTATTCTCTACTAGAGGAGATAATAAACAAGGAAATAATCAAATACAACAGTGAGATGTAAGAAATGCAATGAAGGAAACAAGAAATTGTTGACTGAGAATAATAGGAGTGAATTTATATAAATCAGATGAGTATTATAGACATAGTTATCTCTTTTATCAAGTCAGTTGCCAAAGTCACGATATGTTTTTAGTCA